AACTACTAAACTTAATAAATGAATTCAGCAATGTAGCAGAATACCAAATTAACACCCAGAAATTTATTGCTTTGTTATACAACAATAATGAACATACAGAAAAAGAAACTAAAAAAAAAAAAAAATCCCATTTACCACTGCAACAAAAATTTAATATACCTAGGAATAAACTTAACTAAGGAGGTAAAAGACCTGTACTCAGAAAACTAAAGGACATTGAAAAAAAGAGGTAGAGGAAGATATATACAAATGGAAAAATATACAGTGTTCCTGGATTGATACAGTCAACATCATTAAAATGTCTTTATTACCCAAAGCAATCTATAGATTCAATGCAATCCCCATTAAAATAACAATGGCATATTTCAGACCTAGAACAAACTCTCCCCCCCCAAAAAAATAAATATATATATATATGTATGTATGTATATGAGGAAAAAAGACCCTGATTGGCTTCAACAATCCTGAGAAAGAAGGAAAAAGTTGGAGGAATCACCATACCAGATATCAAACTATCTTTTGTAGCCACTGTTCTCAAAACTGTGTGGTACTGGTACAAGAACAGACATAGACCAATGGAACAGAACAGAAATCAACTCCCATCATCATGCTCAATCAACATGTAAGAAAGGAGACAAGGGAACACAGTGGAGTTAAGAACGTTTCTTCAGTAAATGGTGTTGGGAAAATTGGACAGATACATGCAAAAAAATTAAACTAGACCACCAACTTATACCATACACGAAAATAAACTCAAAATGGATAAAAGACTTAAACATAAGACGGGAAACCATAAAAATCTTAGAATAATCCCTAGGCAGTAAAATGTTAGACATATGTCATAGCAATATCTTTATTGATATTGCTAAGACAATTAAAACTAAGGACAAAATAAATAAATGGGACTACATCAAAATAAAAAGCCTCTGCATAACAAAAGAAACCATCAACAAAACAAGAGAGCCCACTGCATGGAAGAACATATTTGCCAATGTTATATCTGATAAGGTTTTAATCTCCAAAATTGATAGGGAACTCATACAACTTAACAAAAGGAAAATAAACAATCAAATCAAAAAAATGGGCAAAGAACTTTCACAGACACTTTTCAAAAGTGGACATAGAGAAAGCCAAGAGACATATGAAAACACAAAATTTGTGCATGGGAGCAGGTCCCTCAGCCCAGCCTGCACCTTCTCACAATCCAGGACCCCTCGGGGGATGCCTGCCTACTGTACTGGTTTAGGCCTGATCCTGGAGTCAGCAGTTGAACATCCCTCCAGGATTGGGCCTAAACTGGCAGTCAACATCCCTCTTTCAATCCGGGGCTGCTTGCTCCTAACAGCTCACTTGTCAACCTGCCTGATTGCCCCTAAACACTGCCTGCCTGACCACCCCTAACCATAGCAGACTATCAAATCTCAGAGGGAAGGAAGGGAAGGGTAAGACTATCAAACCTCAGAGGGAAGGAAGGGAAGGGTAAGACTATCAAACCTCAGAGGGAAGGAAGGGAAGGGTTGGGGTAAGAGATAAACTAAAGAACTTCTATATAAGCATAACCAATGGACACAGACAGTTTGGGGATGAGGGCTTGTGCTGGGGGTGGGAATTGGCAGGGAGGAGGAGATATATGTAATACTTACAACAATTAAGAATTTTTAAAAATTAATATGTGAAAAAGAAAAAATTCAGGAAATTCACACTTCAGTGAATTGTCTATTGAAATCAGGGGGCTCAGAAAAGTTTGCTTGTAAACATGAATAAATATGTTAGTTTTTACTGAATTTTTTTTAGTAATTCTCAGTTTTACAAATGTCTTTTTCTATAATACCAGAGGCTCAGTGCAGGAGATTCGTGCACTGGGGAGGTCCCTCAGCCCTGCATGTGCCCTCTCGCAGTCTGGGAGCCCTCGCTCCTTACTACCCATCTGCTCACTGCTCCTTAGTGCAGGCGGGAGAGTCTCAAACAACTGCTGCTTTGCTCATCAGCCATGAGCCAGCTTCTGGCTGAGCAGCGCTCACCCTGTGGGAGCGCACTGACCACCAGGGGGCAGCTCCTGCGTTGAGCATCAGCTTCATAGTAACTGGTTGTTCTGCCATTCAGTCGAATTGCATGTTACCCTTTATTATATATTTTATAATGTAAATACTTCTATGTGAAGGTACAACAATGTGCATTGAAATAAAAATGAAGTCCAAACTAAAAATAAAATAAAATAAAACACTTGGGATATGGAGCCTAAAGATAATCATTGCTAATATTTAGGACAAAAAAAAAAATGATTCTTCTTATGACACCATTTGGAAAATATTTACACTAAAAAATTGCATCATCTAAGTATTTGGGAGGCTTTTCCTTAATAAAGCATGCAATTGATCCTGTCATGTGATTTTAGGGATATTAGAAGGCATTTTGGCTGCCGGGCCTCCTTTTCAGTCACTGGATTTGTATTTTCTCACCTCCAGAAGTTTTTGCATATATTTGTTCCAAATGATTCATGGTTTACAGGTAGTTTATATCTCATAAGTCTATTTAATTGCCATGGACATATTTTCCTGTAGGAATCTCTTGCACAACCCGCGTGGAAAGAGTTCCAATTCAGGGTTCAGGTTCTGGAGAAGGGCCGCACACAAATGAAGAGACTTGAGACTTGAAGAAATTCAACTTGGCGATATGGGGGCCAGGTGGTAGTCCAACTCTAGTAGGAGAACTACTGCTCTGACCCTGCCATTTCTTTTATTGAGGCTTTGGGGAAAACATGTTAGGCAATATAAACAGAAATTTACATGTAGCCCTTAGGCAGGAAATAACAGAAATTTACACGGGGCAAACAGGTGGAGGCTGCTTCAGCTAACAATTTCTCAACGAAAGGGTGAGTGGTTAGAGTAATTAAGGTTGTTGACCAGCCTTCCTGGCTTCCTGTCAACATCTCTTTTTAGTGAAACTGATTTGTTTTCCAGCATTTCCCCTCTGATCTGAAAGGTTTCACTGGATCATCACCTGGACTATGCCTTTGCCAACCCATATGAAATGATAAGAGTCAGGAATGGATATGCATCTTCCTTCATTTTAACTTATAAGAAGTTGCTTATAATTCATTGATTCTCTTTAGTCCACCATCAGATGGACCTTTCTCCCACAAAGTAGCTTATTCCAAATTGTTTTTTCTGAGCCGGTAGTAAACTTTCGTGTCAAGTGATCTTTCCTTGTTGTCCTAAACGTTGCATTTTTCAGTTATAGGGAAAAGAGTAATGTTTTCTGTAGGATACAAGAAGTTTTCTCAGTATTCCCTATTCATGTTCCCTACCTCTAGGTACCTGGACCTCCTTGCCCTAAACACTATATAATCCGTTTTTAGAACTCTGAGTCCAAAGAATTCCCTTATGACCCCGGGTATCTCAGCCACAGATGGGAGGTGGATGTCAGCTAGTAACGAACCATTCCTATGGTTAAACTCCTGAGTGTCCATTTGAATCCCTTAGGGCAATACTAGGGTGTCAATTGCAAGTTTAGAATGAATCTTTCCATCTTGCAGTGCCTTTCTAAAAGAAATTTCTTCTCTATTATTAACAAAATAATAGTTCTAGCCCTCCCCCCCCCCATATTGATGAGTAAAAGTCCACCCACCTACTTTGAAGCATAGAAAAAAATGATTATGAAGTTCTTAAGTAACCATTTCTATGCTGTTTTCTCTCAGACACTCCTGTAATACTTAATGTGAATAGTTTAATATTGTAAAATATATATCTTTTAATCTTTATTGTTGATAGTATTACATATGTCCTCTTCGTTCCCCCATGGGTCCGTTCTAGTCTACCCCCACCCCCCACCCCAGGCTTTTACCACCCTATGTCTGTGTCCATGGTTATGCATATAGGCATACAAGTTCTTTGAACTCTTTCCACCCACAGACCTACTCATTCCTTTCCTCAGAGATTCTTCAGAATGTTCCATGCTTTTATGTCTCTGGATCTACTTTGCTCAACCGTTTATTTTGTTCATTAGATTCCACACAGGAGTGAGATAATGCTGTAAAGTATTGCACTGTATGATGTGAAAAATATATGTTATTATGCCCTCTTAACTTATAACATATTAGACTGATGGTTTTGATTTTTATATCTTGACAAACTTTACTACCAGATGCTATGCAATAAACATGCATTTTTGTACTTGCAGAAGCTGCTGCTTATTATTCAAGTTGATTGATTTTTCAAGACACTGGTAATGGATAAGTTTGAAGTTCATACTGTCTACTGTTAAATAAAATAGCATTCTCCAGAATTTAAAAAATAAAAGAAAGAAATCCATACTTATGGACTTGTATGTCATGGAAATCCACAAAATTCAAAACTAGAGTGTGTGTGTGTGTGTGTGTGTGTGTGTGTGTGTTTAGAAGGCAGTAATGCTGTCAATCAGAGAGATGCCAGGGTCCTTCTCAATGCTCTCTGGAAAATGGTTAGAGCATCATATCAATACAACAAGGTTGCAGGTTTGATCCTGGATCAGGGCACGTGCAAGAAACAAAGAATGAATGCATTAATAAGTGGAACAACACCTCTCTCTCTCTCTCTCTCTCTCTTTCTCTCTCTCTCTCCTTCAAAAAATTTTTCCTATGTGCCAGAAAGGTTTCCTCTTGCTGACATGCAAGTTATCATCAGGCCCAGTCAAACCTCACCACAGGCATCTAGGCAGGCAAACAACACTCCCTAGAGTGATATTCTTATCTTTCTTTCATCCCCCAATTCAGCCTCCCAGCACGTCACACTACAGCAAAAATATTCCTTCAAAGTAGTGTATTAGTATATCTAGTGTATTATACCCACTGAGCCAAACCAGTCAGGGCAAGTTGTTGTTTTTTTGTTTGTTTGTTTGTTTGTTTGTTTTTTAATATATTCAGAGTTGTACAACCTAATTTTAAGACCTTTCCTTTTCTTTTTTAAAAGACATGCTCAGTTTAACTTTCCCATCAGCTACTGACAAATACTCAGGCATATGTTGAACACTTAAAAGAAAGTGTCTTGGTGACTGGACCCAGACACCTATAAGAAGGAGGGTATTCTGGTCAGAAGGTCAAATCTCCAAAGTGTATGCTGCTGCTCTTCCCTGGTGGTCCAGAGCCCTTGCCCGCTGCTGCCTGCCCCTGGGCAAGGGCGGGGTCATCAGGAGGTCAGGGACTGAATGCTCTCGAGCATCTCCTCAAAGGCCTGTGGGGATGGTGCCTCTGCATTTTGGAACGAGGCCTGGACTCTGCTGTAAAGGCTGAGCGATTTCAGCTCCAGCCAGATGAACCCGAAGTGGTCCTCATCGAACAGGATGAAGAGCCCAGGGATGTGCTCGGGGTTGATAAAGCCATGGTGGGCAACATGGCCCACGCCATAGAAACACATCCTGCAGGTTCGGGGGAAGTCCTCATTAGGTGAGCTCATGTCCACAGGCAGAACCATCTGGACAGGCTGTTCCTGCAAAGCTGCAGCCCAGGACTCCCTGACCTCAGTGGGTGGCCCAACATTGGGCTGGGCAGGGCTCTGCCAGCCATGGCCTTCACTGTCCCCCGTCCTGTCTTCTTGCTGCTCCAGGCTCACCTGCTCATGAACTTCCAGGACGATGCGGGAGAGCTCGTTGAAGTTGCTGAGGTTCTGGTCAACAGGCAGCTGGATGCGGTGCATGAGGTTGATTTCTATCGTCTGCTGCCCGGCAGGGATGTTGGGGTCACCCGTGATCTTCGTGGCCCTGGCATACTTCCCGTGGAAGCTGAGCATGACAATCTCTATGCCGTGGACATCGTAGGTGCCTTTGAAGAGGCCTGGCCTGATGAGGTCGTCTCGGTGGCTGGGCGGAAGGTAGACGCGGTGGCGGGTCAGGCAGTTGTCACACTGACTATAGATGAACTTCATCAGGAGGAGCTGCTTCCAAGACTCCTGGGAAATGTCCTCCAGCGTCCGCCCCCACTCTTCCCTCAGCCACACTTGTAATTCCTCTTGCCTCCCGCCAGGCATCATGTGGTGGTCCGTCAGGTTGCACTGGGTGGAGAACTCGTCCTTCAGCATCTGGATGTGGCCGCTGTGGGGCCCTCTGCAGCCGTGCATGCACTCCACCACGTCCGATTTCCTCTCTGTCAGGTGAATTCTAAATGAGAGCTTGCTTTGCACTGGGTCATTCACATGCGGGTAATGGGGAGGCAGGTACCTCCAACCAATAATGCACAAGCCGTCCACCACTACATTCAACAGTCCTCCATAGGGCCCGACATCTGGCTGCCACAACCCCAAAATGTGTCTGTAAGGGTGGAGCAGCTTTGCATAGACTTCCCGATAAGACACACCCATGATCGCCAGGTTCTGCACATTTTCACCCACGCCATACTCCTCCCGGCAGCGCCGCCTCCAGATGCTGTCGGTGGTGCGCAGGATGCGATGGAACTTGGTGCAGGCCTGCGCCAGGCTGGGCAGGTCTGTGCCGGGGAGCGAGGCAAAGATCTCCACCAGCAGCTCTGGAGGCAGGTCCTGCAGCGAGCAGCGCGGGGTTGGCGCGGGACTCACAATGCCTCCGTTCCCAGCACCAAAGAGTGCCTCCGAGTCCGCCTGGACGTGCTCCTCTTCCGGGTGTGGGTCCAGCTCGCTGTCTGCCGCGGCCTTCTCTGCTGGGCCCCGTTGCTGCTGGCGACACTGGCATCCCCGCGAAGGGCCTGCTCTGCAGAGGCCAGCGCACTCCTCCTGGCCTGTCTGAGTGACAGCCACCATCCCGTCTGCTGCAGCCTCTGGGCTGAGCTGGCCGCGCCCCGCCCGGAGAGCCCAGTCACGCCCCCTTGGAGAGGGCCAATGGTAGGACTATTTCAACAGTCCAGAAAGAAACCCACACCCATGAGCAGAAACTTCTCTTTCCCAGGATCCCCTCCCTTTCCTCCCACACTAGCCCCAGGCAGACACTCCTCTGCAATCTGTGTAGGTATGCCTCTGTGGGTGTGCCTATGGAGGACATTTCACAGGTAAATTCAGTCATCAGGTTGTGACTGGTCTTTTGTGACTGGCTTCTTTCCCTTAACATTTTCAAGGTTTATGTGTTATATCCTGTACTAGTACTTCATTTCTTCATGTTACTGGATAATATTTTAGTGCATGGGTATACCACATTTTGTTTACCTATTCATCAGTTGGTGAATATCTGGGTTCTTTCCACTTTTTGGCTATTATGAATAGTGCTGCTGTGAATATTGTGTTCGTGTTTTTGTTTGAGCATGTTTCCATTTCTCCTGGGTATATACCTAGAAGTGGAACTTCTGGGTCATATGGTAATTCCATGCTTAACATGTTGAGGGGAACTGCCAAAATGTTTTCCAAAGTGGCTCCACCATTTTACATCCCCATTATCAATGTATGCGGGTTCCAATTTCTCTACATTTCTTATTAATACTTTTTTAAAGTATATATTATAGCCATCCTAGTGAGTGTTTGTTGTGGGGTCAAACCCTGGGTTCAAAATAAGACCACTGGAGGCTGATAATTTATTAAAAAAAGCAGGCAAGAACTTATTGAAATATCTGGCCAGGGCAGCCACAAGAGTACCACATGCAGGCGAACCCTACATGACTGCGCTGCTTTAGGGGTAGGTAGTTATTTTTAAAGGTTCTGAGAAGGAAAACCCCCATTCTGCAACAAACTGTTGTTTGGAATTTTCTGCTGCTCTTCCTAGATAAAATGTTGCTTTCTAGTTTGCTTTAGCCCTTTTGAAGAATGATGAAGATAAACTTAGCTGTCTGACCTTGCAGGCCAGAGACCAGATATGCCCACAATCTCAATACCATGCCAGGTGCACTTTTTTTAAATTGGATAGAACAGCATTGTTTTTCAAGGCCAGCATCGAGATAACCACTAAGTGCACATAGGGCTGGCTCCTTAATAAAAAATTTAAAAAAAGGAAGTTCTGCCTGTAACCTTTCTTAGAATTTGAATTCATCCTATTTCAGTGTTGAGTGGTATGTTATTATGGTTTAGAGCAGAGTTCTTGACTGTAATCTGACTTGTCCTTGAACTCCGTAAGGGGAATCTCTTCCATTCTCAGCCTTCACCCAGCCTCTGCCAAATCTCTCAGACCCCTGGTAGGAATAGACTCCTGCCTGTGGGCAAGAATGAGCTCACGTTTTTCACTTTCAGTTGGCCTCGGTTCTTCACTTTCCGCTGACTAACCTTGCTAGTTTTTGGGTGAATGGATACCCTGTCAGAATTTCACATGATGTACTAGGAATCAGAAACATGGCATAAATGAGACTTTTAATAACACTCTCCAGAGTGGGTGCCCATTTTACAGGAAAACCTTGAATCAGTTTTTTAGTAAAATTCTCCATAGGATTGTGCCATACGCAATTAAAACAGTGCATTAAACGAGGAACTGGGCATATTTGTCTATTCCCCTTCCTAGCCAAAATTCAAGAAAAAAAATTTAAAAAGGTAAATATATATTAAAAAGTAATGGGCCCTAGCTGGTTTGGTTCAATGGATAGAGCATCAGCCTTCAGACTGAAGGGTCCCAGGTTCAATTCTGGCCAAGGGCACATGTCTCGATTGCAAGATTGATCCTCAGTAGGGGGCATGCGGGAGACAGCCAATCAATGATTCTCTCGTATCAATGTTTCCATCTCTCCCCCTCTTCCTTGTTTTCTAAAATCAATAAAATATATATATTTTAAAAAGTAATGGGAAATTCCAAAAGCAACATTAGCTAGGAAAAATTTAGAGGGATTCTCACAAGATAGAAAACAGATGGGGGCAATAATTGGACCAGAGATTATCAGAGACAAAAACATTCAGAAGTGTGAATTAAAGGGGCCACATATGAACATGACAAGCTAAGGGAAGGCCTGCATGGCAGTCTTGCACTCAAAGGCCAAAAGTAACCACAAAGGATGGTCTGAAATGAAACTTTTAACTAAAAGCAATTAGAGTGTGTAGTTATATCCTAGGCCAGTATCTTCATTGGCAAGGTCAACCTTTACCTTAATTAGTGTTTAAACCCCACTAGTGCCTGGAGCCTATCTGTCTTTTGCACCTATAATAATATATCCTTGAAATGTTTGAATAACTTGTAACTTCCCTTCTCCCAGACCCAGTGGGGCACAACCTAATGTGTGTGAGTGCCAGGACAGATACCACAAATTCCTTCATTGTTATCATGTTAATTGTTCCTGCACCCACCTAAGTATGTGACTATCATTTTCCTTTTTATCCAATCCCAGGGGTTTCTCCCTCCCTCCCCCCATCACATTTGCTTTCTCCCTCCTCTCCAGTCTATCACCAATGGATTTCATGCAACCCATCTATGTCCTTCCTTTGACTGCAATGTATAAACACAGATGTAACCCGCCATTCTTCCAAGCATTATCTCAATCCGTTGAGGTTCTGCTTCCCTGCAATTGTCCACAGATTGGCTCAAATAAGCTCACAAATTTTTTTTTTTACAGGTTTGAATGTTTTTATGTTAACAGAAGTAAACTGCACAGATGAGAACATAAAGCTTATAATAAGTAAAAATTTGTAATGAACAACATGCTCAAAAGCAAACATAAAAATTCACTCTATCTCTAGATATGTTCAGCTGTTCATTCCAAACAACTGGACCATTTGTCTCCCCCTTCCTCTGAGAACTGCGTGCGGCTAAGTGTTTGGTAAGGCTGAAGCTCTCAGCATTATCCATTCATTCATTCATTCATTCACTCATTTATTATGTTATTTTTTAACGAGGGAGTCTGAGGTCAGTCAGTCATTGTTTCAATGACATCTCCCTGTTACTGGTGGGCAGTGAATGTTTTGTGTTTTTGTATGTGTGACACTATCTTATTTCTCATTCCAGTTTGAATGACACTAATGATATATATGCTCTTTCCAGATTCAAAGTTCTTTTTCCTCAGAACATTGAGAAATTTGGCTTTTCATCTTTATATACTTGAGTTGCCAGTAAGTGACAGATCAATCTGATTCTTGTCTGTTTGTTGCTCTTCTCTCCTCTTTTGAAAGCTTTTAGGATTTTTGCTACTCTTGTTTTTAGTTTTCATCACCCTTATTTTTCTACCAGTGAGATTTTTTTTATTCTACTTAATCCTTAGTGACTAGTTTTAGTATGACTAAGGTTTTTCTCCAATTCTGGTATACTATGATAGCTTCTACTATTTCTTTAAATATTTTTTCTCCTCCATTTGTTTCTCTCCTTATAGAATGTCTTTTAATATTCAAGATAGTGATGTAGGAAGAACCTATGGAGCAATTTTCTCTGAAAAAAAAACCAAAACAAAAAAATAAAGGTTGGCTGAGGGACAACTACACATCAGGCGAGCTAGAAGAAAACCACATCCAGAGGGTAGGAGAGGCTGGGACACAGCTCTTCACAAATCTCACACCTGGCCCTGCACATGACCCACGTGATCAAGCGAGAACTCAAAACCCAGCCCTTATCCCTGAGGAGCAAAGGGTTTGAACTCCACCTTGGGCACCCCACTTTTAAAAGCAGCACCTGAAAGATGAACCCGCAAAACATGTAGCTTTGAGTCCTAAGACCCACAAAACTTCAGGGACCTGAGAAACTGCTCACAAGTTCTTCCTCACCTGCCCTGCCCCCAAGGCCCGTCTCAGAGGCAACTGACTGCAGCCACACCCTTAAGAGAAAGAGGCACATTTGCTTATAGTAAAGCTTCTGATTTTTCACACGCACCCAGGAGTCTGCTGGAACACCCTGGGCATGAGACTGGTGGGTGCCTTTCTCACTCTCTTCCTCTACCCCTGGCCCCACCCCCCTTTTTCTTAAATATATTTTATTGATTTTTTTACAGAGAGGAAGGGAGAGGGATAGAGAGTTAGAAACATCAATGAGAGAGGAACATCGACCAGCTGCCTCCTGATATGCCCGCAACCAATGTACATGCCCTTGACCAGAATCGAACCTGGGACCCTCTAGTCCACAGGCTGACACTATCCACTGAGCCAAACTGGTTTTGGCTCTTCCTCTACCTTGCCTTTGTTTGTTTGTTTGTTTGCTTTTATAATCCTATACTCCTCCTCTTATCTCTCTCCCCTCCCCATCTGTGCAGACACCTTCCCCAAAGCTCCCTTTCTGCTTTGGGTACCCAGCAGGTGCCATCCTTGCATTCCCCCTCCACTGGGCTCCAGAGCAGTGGTGTCTCCCAGAGGGAGTGTTTATGCCACTCTGGTGCCTGGATCTTTGCAGCCACCAAACAGGAGCCACCTGTTGATAATCTAGCTTTAGTGGCCAGGGCAGCTTGCCTTCCTGGGTCCCATGGGACTATAACAAGGGAAGAGACAGATGTTGGTGGACGGAAGCACACCCCTCGCCTCTCTGTGAGAGAAGTGTGCTGCTTTTCTTGGAGCAGGCCTGAGGAGGAGGCTGCAGGGCTGGCACACCTAGGGGGCTGCTTGCTGCCCTCCGGGAGGGGAGGCGGGTGGACGCCCTCTCTGTGCTATCCCTCTGCTTGCCTCAGCTCACCTGTGTCTCCCTGAAATGAGCTGATAACACTCTTCTGGGCTCTGATGTTTCCCAGTGCCACCAGGGGACACGCCCAGACCACCTGGCTCTGGTGGCCATCAGGGCTTCCTGCGGGAGGTCCCACAGAAGGGGATGCATTTGCATTCCTGAAAAGCTGTCTAAGGGCCTGGCTTCCAGACAGCCTGCATCTAGGGCGGGCTGAGGTCAGCCCCTTTGGGGCACTGACTGTGCTTGTCACACCTTCAACTACCAGGAGCGACTGAAAATGAAATAAGCTGCTTGGACA